TGTTTTGATGCACAAAAAATGTTTTATGGTTTGTAAAAATTGTTTTGACTTTTTGAGAACCGAGACTTGAATAAATTGTCGGTTTTGATCACAAAAGACCGACTCGACTAAGTCTTCAATTCTTGATCTTGTCCTTGAGTCTTTTAGGTCTTGTTCCAAGCCATTCTTCACGCCTTGAGTTATTCAACGAAACTCTTCATATCCACGGCGGTTTGGCAATTATCAAAACCTGTCAGAAATGAACACGACTTTAGTTTAACGTGCAAAGTGTGTTCCAACAATATCCCCCTTTTTGATAATGGCAAACAAGACGGGGATATGCATAGGGTTTTGATCTTTTTGAAACAAAATTCCCCCTTAATAAAATTCCCCCTGAAAATATGCATAGCCCTTATCTTCCCCCTTTTGACATTAACAAAAAGATTGTTAACAACAAAAATCATAAAGATTTTTATTAATTAAATTAAGGGAAAAGGCGGAGTACATAGCGAAAGCATTAAAAATTATAAAATAAGGAAGAGAAGAAAGTAGAGCTAGAGCTCTATAAATCCGGGGAAAGATCATTGAGAAGTTGTTCTTCGTCAATGTCTTCTTCTTCTTCATCGCCATCATCATCATCATCATCATCATCATCATCATCATCGTCCACCTCGTCTTCTCTTCCAACGTTTTGAGTCCCACTTTGTTCACCTCCGAAATTCGGTGGAGGAACGTAAGGGACCATTTGAGCGTACGGGTAATTGACAAAGTCAAAATACCCGTGAAGTTCACGGCTCAAGGTATTGACGTTGTGCGCCGTTTTGGAGACGTTGGTGTCAATCCGAGAGAGAGTGGCGGTTAAGGCTGCCATTTGCTCGGCGAGAGAAGGATTGGTCGATGTGGTGGCGGCTGAGGCAGTGGCTCTCGGTTGGCGGCGTGGACGAGGCTGTCGAAACGGAGTCTCGTCGGTGCCCGAGTGGAAAGAAGACTCATCAATCTCCCAGTGCTTTGTCCCCTTTACCTTTGGCCCAACATCGGTTTTGATGTTGTATTCTTCAAGAATTGCCATGACAAGGAGGGCATAGGGGAGCGGCCGATTGTCGGAGGTGGCCGTGAACATGTGAGTCATCACAAATTTACACCAATTGAGATTGGCGTTGTGAATCATCGCATGGATCGTCTTCGTGTCTTCTTGGGAGAGATTGGTGTGGTTGAACTTCCTGGGCTTGAGGATCCGTGTCAACACATAGAAGATGAAACGATACACGGGACTCATGGAAGAAATCGTAGGGCGCCGCTGTTGGGGAGTGGGTACGAAGTGACGGATGCCCACTTCCTCCAAGAGAGCGGTCTCATTGAACCGCGCCCCCTCTTCTCCGGTGTAGAGCCCGAGATCCTGTCCGTCCCGACGAAGCCCGGTGAGGATTTGAATGTTCTCTTCATTCAAATAAATGTC